TTAATTTATCATGTATTTACAATTTTATAAGACTACAATGATCAAAAACAGGAAAGCTGCCTTATAAGAACTATTAGCAATAAATAATAAATCTTAATTAAAATGATGATTAGTTCGAATGTTGTCAAGGTATAAATACAGGTAGAACATGTTATGTGTGTGGTACATCGTTAAACTGGAGTTTAAAACCCCGTTAGTTGAAGATACTTGAGGACGAGACCATAATGAAGCCTGAGGCTTTATTTGTGTACTGAGCACTTGAAATTTTTGGTAAATTTAACCAATTTACGGTACCGTCAGCCGCGGTTATTATGATACAAAAATTATAATTTTTTTTTGTTCTATGCTTAACTAAAATTTGAGTATTTATATGAAAAATATTTCAAATTATTAAGTTGTGTTATGGACATCCCCCTAAAGATTTTCACTAAAAGTTTTATTGAGGAAAAAAAATTTTTTATATCTGAGTTACGTAAACTCAAAGTTTTTACCATAATAGCTCCGCGGTTGGGGCTATATTATGGTACAAAATTTGTTTTTTGTTCATAAGATAAAGTAAATTAATTTTCTTCGAATTAAACTGCAATGATTTTTGGTATTCGTTTGATTGCGTGATTATAGCAATGTCGAGAAAATCATTCTTCCAAAAATGTATCAGCAATTTTTTCATTGATAAAGACTTGTCGTGCGGAAAAATGTTAATCAAACAATTTGGATTTGATTCTCTAAGGGACAAATATTTGAATATCATAATTATGTTGTTTAGTTGAAGCCTAATTTCAACATTGTTGCCATTGAGAAAAAAAATAAATACTGTTGTTTTCCTTTGCCGTTGTAGTAATTGACTGATAGTTAGTTGTGATAAATTTAAATTTATCGATACTAATGCTCAATGTTGGAAAGTGCTCCGAAACTTGTTCAACAAGAGTATTTACTCTTGAGTTTAAATTCATCAAGTGATCATCATAGATAAACATTACCTAATACAATTATTGTCGTTAATAATCAAAATAAATTCCCAGTATAAATTACTCTGTCCAACAAAATTTCGTCATCTAAAATGTTACAAAAATATTAATTTGTAATTTTAAAATTTTGAAAATTATTTTTCCGTTTTTCTCCACAGCGACTTTTATTTTGTCGGTGTCTTGTTTTACAAACGTTGAAAAAATATCAAAATTCTATTCGAATTGACTGTTACATTTTTGAGCAACATAAAATTAATGAAATTTTGTTGGACTGTGTAATTATTATATGTTTACATTCTTATAATATTAGGTGTTTTTTTATAAATTCTAAATTACCTGATACAATTTGAACTCATCCTTCAGATACTTTATTAGTCCTTCTAAGTTATCATTATAAGTTGCAACTCCCAAAATTCCTGTTCCAATGATTATTAAATACAAAATGTATTTCGTAAACTTCGTGAGGAATTAAATTACATTAAAGAAAGTGTAACTTTTCCTCTTTCAAGGAGGAGTTATGTATGTATGATAGAATCTTATTCTGTAGAATAGTTTTACTTTTGCAGAATGTTAAATTGTTAAAAATATTCATTTTGCAAAATTTTCATTAAACCGATTATTACATATCAATGTTGCAGAAATTTTATTTAGACGAACATTATAATTTGGCAGAAACGTAGAAGTATAAAGCTGGAGTAGAAAAATACGTATAATTTTTACTTTACAATTATAAAATTCCTTTCTTTCATAAATTTTCAACAGAGGAAACTTTCATTGAATTTTCAATCGTTGTAACGTTGCAATTTTATATCAAACGTTGTTCCTTTAAAAATTCAATAAATATGATAAAGTTACAAGGATTGGCCAATTAAATTTCCTTAAATTTAGTAATATTCATAAATCGTTCCTATATTAAAGTTTTACACATTGCATGCAAAATTTAATATAAATTTCTTACAGTGCAACTAAATTTAGGTTAAGGTACCGCCATGGCAGTTAAGCTTACAGAGCCAGGACCGTAGTTAGATTTTTCTCTGGGGTACTTTAGTACCCCAATTATATTACCGTGGATGTCCCAGTTACCGTCCACCTAAGACCTAGTTTCCGTCCAGTTTAATTTTCAAAATAACATTTATAAAAAAAATTATTTTCTTTTATTTGTTTACTTAAACTAATAAGTCGATTGTGTGCCAAAAGGAATAAATTATTGTTAAAAAATAATTTAAATTACTATACGAGATATTTGTAAAATGGACGGAAACTGGGACATGGACGGTAACTGGTACATCCACGGTATATGGAGTTAATTTTGTTAAAAAAAAAATTAGAATATTAATTTTGCAGAATACTTATTTATTTGAATAGGGGAATAGTGTCAGGGTTGGACACAGTTTTGGTTTTTTGTTTATAAATATTTTGTTTAGATAAATTCAGTCAATTGTGGTATATAGGTGGAAAGATCTACAAAAGAGGAACACTTTTGCTGTGGACCGTAAATTGATTGGTACAAAATTAAAAAAGTTATAAACATTTAAAAAAAAAATCTAGTCAGGGTTGGACACTTTTTGAAAATCGAAACGCATTATTGGTAAAAACGTAAAATAACATTTGTAATGTTTTTTATTCTTATTTTTTCATGTTTATCTTTACTTATTGTTTGCAAATTGTAAAGCTTCATGGGTTTAAAAAAGGAATGAACTCAAATTACAAAAAATAACGCTTTATTGTTCCAAATAACTCAATGAAATGATGAACAAAATTTATACAATTTAAGTATTATTTTTCTAATATCTTTGGCACAATTTTGCACTGAAATATCAATAAAATAAAATTTATTTATAAATTGTGTCAAATTCATAATTAATATGGGTGTTCAACCCTAACTGTATAAAGTGTCCAAACCTAACTAGAAGCATCATTTTCGAATTCTGCTAACCATAACCAGACATGTGTCGCGATTCGATTTTTCACTTTTTTTCTTCTTAAATTATGTACCCCACAATACATTCAATAAGCTTACCTTACCGAATTCTTGCGTTTTTTACACATTTTTTAGGTTTATTCACAAGTCAAACAAAACTTTTTTTGTCTCTTCGATTGCACCGAAGTCACAGGAGACGCTACTTTTGATTCTCCAAAAATGTAATGCCACAAAAAGTTAGGTTACACTACTAGAAGATTCGTCACGTACGCACACAGGTGGCGCTAGTGTTCTTATTTAAAAAAAGCCAAGTGTCCAACCCTGACACTATTCCCCTATTAATGTTCTAGAAAAAATTCAAATGGTCAAAAATCACTTAAACAAAATTTTTATTTAGGCAAAAAATTAATTTTTGTCTAAATAAAAATTTCTCCAACATTTATAATAATCGGTTTAATGAAAATTTTGAAAAATTAATAATTTAACAATTTAATATTTTGCAAAAATAATATATTCTACAAAATCAGATTCTATTAAATCATAATTTTGAAAAAATTGTTTTAAGACTTTATTCATGCGTCCCAATTCATATAGCAAAAAGTCATTGATTGAAAAGTAAAAAAAAAAAATTTTTTTTACTAATTTAAATTAAGAATGATAGGAAATCGATCAAAGAGAAGGTATCATAATTGCGTTATGGTGATTAAGAGAAATCTCCCACGAGTATTTCCTTCTATATGCTAAGTATAAAAACCTACACGTATATTCATTGGTCAACGTGCGAGTTACCGTTGTGACGTCACACAGACACATACGTTTCCCCTTAGAAGGATCGTTGTGAAACATATATATATATATATAAATAAGGTGGGTGTAAATGTTATAAATTATCATTTTTTTCATTATTTTTTGCAATAACATTCTATCACAGTGCATCGTAGGTCTGCGAGACCTTCCAATTTCTAAATGGATCGTGTGCCACCTAGATCAATGAGAGCGTGGGTGCAATACGTATATATATAATGCGTTTACTGTCTACCAGCAAATTCCTGACGAGGACTTTCAATTTCGAGGACGTACAAGGGCACGTACACGTATATACAATCAATTATTCACATTTGCAATTACTCTGAAAATCTTGATCGTTTTTTTTTTTTCATTTGTCTTAAAAAAAAAAGAAAATTTTTTCGTAGCTCTATGGTCAAGTGTTTTTGACCTTGTAGGTGGAAATTATGACCGGTTAGAATAAGACTCGCACCTATCCAAAATCAGCTGGTAGTTTCAGCCCACACGTCAAGATGACTGATTCTACATAATTTGTGTATTATTATTATTTTTTAAAACGACGCAAAATTTAATTTTCTAAAAACAACGCAAATTATTTATAAAATATGCGTCAAAATTCTTTGACAAGAGTCAATAAAACCGCAATATTAATATACACAATTTTATAGTTCACTAACCATTTTAAAAACAAATGTCAAAATAATGTTTAACTTACTTTGAACGTAAAAAAAAAAATAAATTCAACTCATAAAATTTCCTCAGTTGTCACGCGTATATAATACAAAATGCATTTTCACAATATTCGTATATATATATGCGCTATGCACACTCAAAAAGTGAAACAAGGAAATGTTCAATGAATTCAATCGATTCTTATCTTCTTATATATGACAGCTTTGACACTTTAATGGAAGATATAATTTCACCGTCACTTGTGTGGGTGGTTAGAGAATTTCGAAATTATTTCTAGTTAGAATTTACACTGATTTTAATGATCAGCTCTCGTCGTTTTTATTTTCATTTTTTTTTTTTTTTTTTTTGCGTGGGCTCATTATTATACTGAAATTTTTTTTTTTTCCTTTACTTGGAACAACACTCGAGATCCGGTGTGTTACCAAGAAAACACAATTATACGTTTATAAAAATAAAAAAAAAAGAAATTTCTTTTCTATACTAAATAATTCTTATTTTTCTCTAAAGAGATGAGAATTCGTTAAATTCTTAAAATTTGTTAAAAATATATTTTAACTACAATCAAATTTAACAAAATTATTAATATAATTTCCAATTATTTTGTGTTCAATAACAAAAAAAAAAAAAAAATGTATATTAATAATAAATTTATTTCTATTTTTACAAATTGTAACAAAAAATGTTATTTCTCGAATTGGTGATAATGAAATATTATCTTGAGAATTGTCGACCCTCATTACCACGTTTTCCACCTTGATGAAAAATTTTTTTACGATGCATCTGCTTTCCACCATTGGGATTGTTCATATTTTTAAAATATCCAAAACCACCACCTCCAAGTTTTTTTCGTGGTCTTGTATCTTTACTCAATCCCACTTCTATAGTAAATTTTATTAAGGAAAATAGAAATATTATGGATGAATCTTCAGAAATTAATCACTATCAAAGGAGAAATATTTTTTTAAAAAAGTAACAGACCTCAGATCGACTTTAAGGTGCAAAAAAAGTCGATTTCTTTATTTTAATAAAATTTAAGGTACCCGTAGACTCTCATTTTTAAATTTTCAAAATTCCCTGACTAATTTTTCTTCTTCCCGTATTTAAGAAATTTTTTAATAATTTAAAACCTTGAATTATTTAAAGTTTAAAAAAAAAGTCTTATAATCCGAGGCCTGAAGTAACTGTAAATTTCGAAATTAAAAAAAAATAATAATTCAATTATTTGATATAAAAACAAAAAATTGTTTTCTTTAATATTAAAAAAAAGGATACTTAAATCTACTGCTGGTGGATTAAGAAATCCAAATGATTTTGCCACAGCAGCCAAATCTAAAGTTTCAATATCAAAAATCTGCTTCAAATGATGTGAATCATAAGCTCGCACATAAGCTTTATATGCTTCCTTCGCTGACATATTTAAATAATAATTTTTTGCAACTAATTTCTCCAACTGAAATAAATGGTAAAATTTTTAATTATTCACCTGTGAAAAAGAAAAATATTCTCAAAATAAGAGGAAAATAATAATAGATTTTCAGGTTCCTCTCAAAATAAGAATATTGTAAATATTTCTCTATCTATATATTTTCATCGCATAAATGATAATGCGTTTTATGTGCGATTTTTCACTTCCACAGTATTTTATGTGTGAATTAATTGAATATTTAAGAATTTTTTTTTTTATCAATAAATAATTAATTAAAATCATTGGAAGTAGATTTTCGGTAAAACTGTAAAAGAAACACATGAATATTCTCCAAATTTCAAATATATATACTCACGAAAAAAAATATCTTCACCTAAAATAGAGATACTTTTCACTAAAATAGGGAAATTTTTCAATATTCTAGAGAAAAATTTCGCTGTTACAGATAAAGATTTTTTTCCGTGTTTAATTAGAATTCAATGCCCACAAACATCATGTGGTCTAATATTTATTTAATCTAATTCCTATTTGATCTAATAATTCTGTAAACTAATTTTTATTTGATATAATCTTGATATCTAACCGAAGTATTATTTGGCATAATATTTATCTGGCCTAATTCTTACATAACCAAATTTTTTTATGGTTCGTTCCCACTCGCCAAATTCCCAACTTGCCATTTGTCATAATTCTCGTCAACTACCGCACCCTGCTCTAGTGAAAATTTAGTAACTTTATACTAACTTTCAATTTTAACAATAAAATCACTAAATTTTCATTAGTGCAGGGTGCGGTAGTTGACGAGAATATTATGTCAAATGGCGAGTGGGGACAAAGGAAACCAATCTTTATATGAATGCAAAATAAGCAGCTGCTTAAGGCCCCCAAATTTTTGTAGGGCTAAATTTTTTTTCAAATTTTTAATTGCAATTATGTCTCGCACTCACTTCAATAATTTATTTGAAAATAAATAAACAAGAACATCAATTTTTTCATTATAATTAAAATTGTTTGCATTTTTCTATACAGACTTCTGGTCCTCGATTAATTTCAATGCAATTTGTATTTTTCTTCTTCTTATAATCTCATTTCTCCTTATAATTCAGCAAAGAGAACATTAGTATATAATGACATCTACATTGGTAACGAATAACTATTTCAAAGCTTACGCACCAAGATAGCTCAGCCCTGCCATGACTATGTTGATCAGCTGGTATCAGAAAATCAACATGGCGCATCAGTATTAACATGAAAATAGTTTATGTTTATTTCAATTATAGTTCAATCGATTAGAAATTAGTAACAATAAATTAGTGTTATTCAAACGCTTACACTTTATTTTTCGTATTGGTTACTTAGTCAAAAATATCTTTGTCAAAGACAACGAAGCGGGTAAGAGGCCCATTCTGCAATTCGTTTATAACCTGAAAAGACTCATTTTGTATATAAAAATAGTTCTTACTTTTGATCTATTTTTCCGACTTTAATGTGACACAATTGCAAATCACTCAGTTCTTTTTGTTAATATTCATTATGTTTTTTACATAATTTGTAATAGAATTTGTTTATAATAAGTAATAATTTGTTCGGAATTTTTCACAGGCAGAATTTTGGTTATAAATTTCGATCCTAAGTAATCTTGTAAAAATACAAGTTTACTGCATCATTTTAGAAGCAGTGTTGTTAATTTAAATATACAAGGTGTTCCAAAGTTATGGAAACTTGCAATTATCTCGAAAAGTACAAATTTTCTTAGAAAATTGTTCAACACAAAAGTTGTTCCAAACAAAAAGATGTACATTTTTGAAACCAAAAAATTGGGCCCGGAGCCCAACGTTGGGCCTTAAAATGAAAAAAGTGTTTTCTTAAATGAGACCACCAATTTTTAGTATCAAATTCGTAATCCCCATGAAATTCTGCGTTCAGACATGTGGTATAAGTGCCCAAAATATTGGGCCCAATCTAAGATAATGGGCTCAAAAATTTTCTACAGATAAATAAATTTTGAAAAATCAAACCTTAGGGGGGGTTTATGGAGTCACACACTGTAAAAAGAAAGTACTAAAACAGTACCGATTTTATGTAGCAAATGACAATTTAGTACCTGAAGTCGGTATTAAATTAATACCTTTCTTTTTACAGTGCAGGAGTAGAAATTCGAAGATAATTTTCAAATTGGGCACAGAGCCCAATGTAAGATGCCGCGGCACAATGTGAGGCCCAATTAAAAAAATTTGTTTTCTTAAATAAAATCCTCTAATTTTCAGTATCCATTTCGTAATCTTAGTCTCATTCTCACTTCTTTACCCACCCTTCTCTCTTTATCAGATTCACAAACTTGATACTAATTTTAGTGATGTCATTTTAAAAAAAAAATTTTTTTTACAGTGGGCCTCAAATAGGGACGAAAAATTTTACATTTAGCTCTAAGCCTAATTTGAAAATTAGCTTCGAATTTCTAATTCTGTAACTCCAAACCCCCCCCCAAGATGAGATTGTTTTAAATTTATTTGTAGAAAAATGTTAGGCCCAATGTCTGGGATTGGGCCCAATATTTTTCACATTTGTACAACAAGCTTAAACCCAAAATTTCATAACGATTACGAAATGGATACTGAAAATTAGAGGGTTTTATTTAAGAAAACAAATTTTTTTAATTGGGCCTCACATTGTGCCGCGGAATCTTACATTGGGCTCTGTGCCCAATTTGAAAATTATCTTCGAATTTCTAATCCTGTGACTCCAAAAAACCCCCAAGGTTTGATTTTTCAAAATTTATTTATCTGTAGACAAATTTTGGGCTTATTATCTGTCACGTCACCGTAACTTTTACATTCATAATTATAAGAATTCTTTTTTTTAATCGATACTGAGTTGTATGTCTCTGCGACAAACACCCGTGTTTTTGTTACGCATCTAAAATACCTTCCACTTAAATGTAAAACTCCCACCCCTTTATCGCGTGGCTAAACATATTTTCTTTCATATATATAAAGACCCTTGCGTTTTGTATCCTTCTACGTTCATATATTGTATTTCTAAAAATATATAATTGGAAGCGAGAAACTTAGTATTTCCTTAAAAGGGCATAAACGAATGTCCCTTTTTTTGACACGAAGGCGCTATCTTTCTAATATACTCATATACTACCCTTGTAGTGTTTCTCGCTTACACCTGCGATTTCATGACAGAGGTGTGCTCTTTCTAAATTATGTATTTTAATCAGACAAACCCTCTTTGTGGGTAATAAAAAAGAAAGAGATAGAACTAGCGACACAAGACAATGGAATTATATAGTCTCCCTTATGAAAATTTGATATAAAAGAACTAAAATTACCACCGATACCGCCAGTTCAGAAATTACCACCGATACCGCCAGTTCAGAACTTTTCATTATACACGTTACTTCTACTTCATATTTGGTACCAGTTCACATACGAAATCTAGTACAAGCATTGTTACTCTGCTCGATTTCATACTCAAGTTCGACTTAGAAGAAAAACTGTGTCAAGTGTTAAAAGTTAATACGTCAAGAAGAGCTGATTCAAGTATTCAAGGATTTGACTTCCCATAATGTTTGGAAATCATTTTTTCTTCTGGAAGAATTTAACTGTTTGTGTTTCATTACGGTCAACTGAACTCCGGACCTGTGGTCATCACCAAGGCCCGTCAACACAGCAGTGGTCCTTTTTCATACATCTTACATCTAAATTTTCAAGGTAAGTTGTAATACTTTTTATCTAACTCCTTATAAAAATTTTTAGTAACCTTTACATTCCTTGTTGCAGTGGAATGCTGACTTCCCCTTATTTCAAGAATAGTTGCTTCAGGATACTCTCTCTCAAAGATCAATTTTATAACTCTAAATGTTTGTCTAAATAAATTTGTAACCTTGTCATTAAAAATCACTATTCTCTTTCTTTCCTGTACCCTTAGCTCAGAGCCTTCTAAAACAGGAATTCACTGAATCACCGAGCGGCTATAAATAAAATAAAATATTATTTCGTTAGTTATTTCTCTATTTGAGACGTAACATATCTTAGATTGGGCACAATATTTTAGGCACTTATACCACATGTCTGAACGCAGAATTTCATGGGTATTACGAATTTGATACTGAAAATTGGTGGTCTCATTTAAGAAAACTATTTTTTTCATTGTAGGACCCAACGTTGGGCTCTGGGCCCAATTTTTTGGTTTCAAAAATGTACATCTTTTTGTTTGGAACAACTTTTGAGTTGAACATTTTCTACGAAAATTCGTACTTTTTGAGATATTTGCAAGTTTCCATACTTTTAGAACACCTTGTATATTTAAATTAAAGGTATACAAAATACATTTGTTTTAAAAAGTGTTTTATTACGTTGTAATAAAATTTTCGTCAGTTTTTGATGTGAAGTTGTCGTAATTTTTTATGTCAAATTTCAAAAGGGATGAGTGCTTATAGGGTCCCTTTTTCGATAACTCCTGTCTACGTTTCCCGTAGGTATAAATCCGGTCCTAGAATTTCTTTTTTCTCAATTTTGCATTATTTCTAATTAAATAGATTTCTTTTTTTAGTAGACAATTAAATACGATATTGTAAGTTCGAAACGGAAATCACCTTTAATTCTCCTTGCAAATTGTGTGGGCTATTTTATGACTTTATTATTGGTCGATATATACGCGATGATTCAATATTGATAATATGCGCAGAAAATTTTCATGAATTATTTACCTGCGAGTATATACTTAGGATAAGGAGATGATTCGATATTGCGCGTTTAATAAAAAAAATATATTATTTTATTACTCGATTTTTATATCCTTTAGTAAAAATTAATTTAGTTATTATTTTTATGTATATACGACGAGTGTCAATTATGATGTTGGAACATTTCAGATAATGATATTTTCAAAAGTGACAATAAATTGAGAAAATAAAAATTTTATAGCCAAACCGGGATGTGGAGATTAAATAAATGCAAGTTTTTCTTTTTTATTTAAAGTAAGTTTAAAGATTTTTGAATAATAGAAATATTGTA